ACGTAATTTAAACACGGAATCATCCGAGTGTTTTTGCACTTGCATCAGCTGAGCACAAAAACTAAGATTTCACGCTTCGGTGGTTAACGAGCTAAGAATCGAATCCGATAGTGACAGCGGACGGGGTTCAAGTGAAGAGGCTTGTGTAGTGTGCTCATGTTAAAACTTCCATTCATTGCTAATAGTTAGTACATTAAAATAACATATATGTGTGCTAAACTCAACTCGAGTGACAGAGAAGATAATCTAAGGAGAGGTCTGCTAATATTAGTGATGTGTAAGACTAAATTTTAGAAAAGCAATCAATGCCACTAGTGCACGAGTACATGGTGTACATGCAGCTGCATATGACACACACGTGAGAAGGAGACTTGGAGACTTTGGGCTACACTTGGATGAAATCTGACTCCAGTGGCGCCTGTGCGGCCCCGGATTTAGGCGTGACACAGATTGCCACTGGACCCACAGGGGGCAGCAATGCCACAGTTCTTCAGGATGGGGTTGAAGTGGGAGGCTGTACCGGTGCCGGATTCTCTGGGAGGAAAAGGCTTCATGGTGGAGAGGATCAGGGCGAGACAGTCTGCCACATTCTTGTTTGGGGCACAGGCCAGAGCTGGCGTGTGGCCTGCAGAGGGTCAACAGAGAAAGATCGATGCCCCAGTGTCTTTCAGTAATATTTTTGTTGGCAGGAATCTTGGACTGCTTTGGTATTGTATAACAGAAATATAATTAGTCCTGCTTACCTTCCTCATCTACGGCCATGACTGCTGCTCCTCTACTCAGCAACACCTGCACTACAGTCGCCAGGCCTTTCCTCGCTGCAATGTGAAGGGGCCTGTGTGAGGAAGAAAGACGATTAGTGCAATTCAAGAGCGCCAAGGGAGGAAGGTCACCATGTTAAAGAATTCACATGCAGTATTACTGGGACCAAAGGCACAGGAGTCAAACATGGAAAACCTTCTTCCTAAACGTCACGGTGCCTTGTTAAGGTACAAAACACACTATACATTCCATAAGTAAAGAATTATTCACCAGCATCACTTTTCATACTACATTTGAGTGTGCACGAATAGCAGCCAGTTTGTTCTAGACAACTCACATTTGGAGAGCGCTGTTTGTTGCATTTATGAGGGAAGAGTCGCTGATTTCTCCCAGGATTAACAGGGCACACATCTCATGACCCTGCAGAATAAAACATTGTAGTGAGTGATAATCTTCTTAAGCTACATTGTATAAACTAAGTGGTCGATGTCAGAAGTTGTGGCTGAAAATGTAATCAAATCGTTTAATTTCAATTAATTTAGTAAAATTCCACATCGTGCAATGTTATACCACCACATCATTACATTCTTACTGTTATGAGCCATTGCTAAACATGTTTGATTACATTTTAAACCTGATTTTTCAACAGGGATTTTATCATATTTTGGCAGGTTATCACCTGATCTGACAGTTGTTACATTACTGTTGCTACACACATGCAAAAGTTATCATGCCACTGCATGCATACAGTACATGCATTTGAATGTGTATGTGACCTTGCTGCAGGCTAAGTGAAGGGCAGTGTTATTATTGACATCCACCAGGGTCAGGTCTGGCTTCGCTTTGTGCAGCAAGAACTCTGAAATGCAGAAAATAGACACCTTTCACAACAAACACAGGCCTTTATATTTAAACGTAGACCAAGTTAAAATCAGTGCAACAGGGGAAGAGATTTGTATTAAAAGGTAACAATAAGTGAGGACTGTGAGGATCAAAAACAACAGTACCCATGAGCAAAAAATAAGAATTCTTATGTCTCTTAAATGAAGTATGATTGAGTGCTTGAAATTAAATAAATGTCAGGAAAAAAATGTAAATGTTCAGTCATATAGATACAGAAATGTCCTGTTCCTGAGCTGTAAATGGTCTTCAAGTGTTTTAAGGTTCCCCAGGTGTAGATCAGAGTAATGGCATTCACATTTCAAAAACAATTCAATCACATACCGACAGCCATGGTCTGTCCACAGTTGGCAGCAACCATCAGAGCGGAGCATCCACAGTGGTCCACAGCATTGACTTCTGCTCCCTGGGCCAGGACCAGCTGGAGCCCAGCGACATTTCCTGAATGAGCAGCTGCATGCAGTGGGGTCCTGCACCCACACAAACACAGATGAAAACACAGTCAAAACACACATTACATATAAAAAATTTTTTTTAATTGCTATATTTTTCATATCATGCAGTATTATAACCCTTTCTCGACTAATATCTGAATAAAAACTGCCAATTTTGTGGGATATCCTGGCGAATGGACGGCAATAATCATGTCGAGCTGTATAAGAGTGATTTAATTGCATATAAACAAACACTGCTTTGTTCTGCTCTGTTATGATAAGTAGAGCTCAGCTCAGAGCAGAACCCACCTTCCTTTGGCATCGCTAACATGAACAATTTGAGGGCCAACAGCTTTCACTAGAAGTCCAGCAGCAACATCGTGTCCATTAACTCTGCAAAGGAAGAACACATTTGATCAATTTTGAAGATCCACATTAAATTCATGTATGATGAGCCTTTACATTTACTACGGTACTCACAGAGCACAGTGCAATGGAGTGAAGAGATTTCCTTCCTGGTTGCTAAAAAGTTTGTTTTCAAGTAAAATGTGTAAACATCCTTCATGCCCTGCAGACAAAAGAAGCAAATAAATTAATATTCAAATCTTAGAAAAACAACTAGATAGATAGATAGATAGATAGATTCTCTTTGTTAAAATTACTTTAATTCGATTTGACATGATGTCTCACCGTGGTAGGCAGCCCAGTGGGTGGGCGTGTAGCCTCTGTAGTCCAATATGGAGTCCAGAGGGTCAGCTTTCATAGCAGCTTTCAACAAACTTCGGAGTAGCTCCGTGTGGCCGAGGGACGCTGTGAGGTGCAATGGGGTCCTTCCCTGAGAGTCTCTACACAGGGCAGAGGCCCCGTGTTCCAACAGAGCAGAGACACAGTCCTCACTGCCCAACATGGCCTGCAGGGCGAGGACACAAGATAGGATGTGAGAGGAAAACAACACATATAGAACATGCAGGAGGATTCTGTAAAGGGACAAATTCATTTACATAAGTATGTGCATTTAAAAAAAAAAAAAAAAGTGTACAACAAATACACGTACAGCTCTGTGTAATGCAGTGAAGCCCTTTTTGTCCGCAGCATCAGCCTTGGCTCCTTTCTCCAACAGGATGTGGACGCAGTCGGTGTGACGTCCCAGAGCTGCAAGCATGAGCGCCGTCCTGCATACGATAAAGAAAATACTCTGATCATGTCAGACTTTTCAGTGGGTAAATTAACCTGACTGCATTATAAGTGTAGCCTTTAAAAAAAAAGGAAAGCATGTATGTAAATTTTTATCAAACAATCACATCAAAGTGCTTGAATATTAGCTGGCAGTTATTTATGAGTTCACTATCTAACTCTGACACCTCGACCTATGATCAGCAGCACCTGGACTTGTTTTAGGTCTGTTGCATTTGATACAACAAATGCCTTTAATTAGCTTTATGTACCTGAGTGGCTGTCAAGATAAACAGTTTCACACTGAAATGTATCCGTACTTTATATCCTGTCATGTTATAACAAGACAAATTATGTTAATACATTTTAAATGAACAGTATTGTATGTAAAAGCTCTACGTGTCCGGTGTTAACCCAATCAATCAATGATAACCAATCAGAGTATATAAAATGAAATGACTTACTGCCCCTGTGTATCTGGACTGTCGATGATGTCCGCACTTTGTTCCCTGTTGACCAATAACAGCAGACAGTCCATTTGGCCCTCAGCAGCTACACAGAGGGAAAAGAGTAAAAGTAAAATATCAAGTAAAAAATATCACAGAGATTAATATTAAACAAAAACTTAACCAACTCATAGTGTCCATCAAAAGCCATCAACACAACCAACCAAATGTATACGGTATATTTTTAAGTCTCATCTCATATGGTTTCCTTAAACATCCCATACACACCTGCAGCATGGAGAGCCGTCCACTTGCGCTTGTGCTCCTTCAGTGTGTAAGAGGCTTGATGTTTCAGCAGCACTTCCACACATGGGGCGAAACCTCTCCGAGCAGCCAGATGGAGGGCAGTTCTCCCTTCAACGTCCCGAACATCCAGACTCACTAATGTCTCAGACAGCAGACGCAGTGCCTCACAGTGACCATAATACGCCTGTAGAGGCAGAATGCGTAACAACAGTAGAGTCAAAGGCATGTAAACACGTGGTCTTCATTGAGAAGTTCAATCTTTTTCAGTGTATTTAGTGTAATCATGTGCTACTCACAGCCAAGTGCAAAGGACTGACTGGAATATTACTTTCAACCTCTTCTAGACAGTTGAAGGAAATCTCCAGGAGCTGCAAGTGAGAGAGGAAAAATAAAAACTGCATCTTTATCTGGTCTGCAATTGATTAAAGATCAAAATCATTTATCAAAAGCCTCCTAATCAAAAGATACCACTGACCAGTTCCAGGTGCTGTTTGTTCCCATAAGCTGCTGCATAGTGGACAGCACTGTAGCCCTTACTGTTCTTCAGAGTTGGGTTCGCCCCATTGTCAAGCAAGTAGTCTAAACACCTGAACACACAGAGCAGAACATCAGGAATCCTGTCTGGGTTTTATTCTTCTTCCAGCAACAAGAAGTCATCAAAGAAAGTCATTATGTAAAGTGTTTAAACATTCACTTCCCAAAAGGCATTAAAGGTTCAGTTACTGTAAATAAAATATGGCTTTTCTGTGTATTGTTCTGTTATTTGTTTAGAAAGATAAAATTCACTGCATTTTTATATAACAATTGAATCATATTTCTGTAAGATCTTCATCATTTAAAAGTGATAAAAGTCTAATTTTGACCTTCTATTTGGTCTTACTGTTGCACAGTTGTGATATTTTCCTTATCTCTGATTTTGTTCTGAATTACTTTTGAAATAATGGAAAGGCTGCTAACTAATCAATTATATTCAATTATAGTCAATATTAATATTACTGACAAAAAGACAGGATTACTGTAGATTTTGCACAGTCGAGCACCTCTAATGTATAAAGATAGTTTATTACAATTCAAGGATTCAAGCTTATTCTATTGTCATGTACAATGCAGGGTTGTAAAATGAAATTCAGATATAGTTCCCTTTATGCTACTTGTAAAAAAATAAAAAATAAATAAATTATGTGTGATAAAAAAAGTGGCTTACAGAGAGGCTTCATGTTGTTTTTCCTCGCTGTAGTCGGGCTTAGAGTTTGTTTTGCCTCTGTGGAAAGAACAACAGACACTTTTTAAAACAGGATTATCAAGAACAAACAGTCCACAGGATGATGTCCTGGTTAACTTAAAGAGAGTAAAACATCACAATTGCAGTAAATTCTCTCTCACCCACAAAAGGTGTGTGAAGCAGCAGCGTAGTGCAGAGGGCTGCAGCCTGTCAGATCCAGCTCATTGACCTCAGCGCCGTCTTTCACCAGGTAGCTTGTGCACTGGCTGTTCCCGTTAGCTGCAGCATAGTGCAAAGGAGATCTGCAAGGGACAACAAGGGTGATTATCAGGTAAACACCAAAGCAGAGTTAGATTCTTAGCTCCAGCTATTCAGCACTGCTTACCTTCCCAAATTATCTTTTACATCCAGTTCAGCAGCACTATTCAACAGCAAGTTCAGACAGTCAATGTTTCTGTAACAAGAAAACGAAAAAGATAAAAGTTACATTTAAATGATAAAGCTGAGAGTTTCAGATCTGTGGGAGACAGCTTATGAACAGGTTTGACACTATATGTATGGTTCAGGCTCACTCGTTTTTATGCTGCATTCCTCCTGATCAGGCAAACTACAGGGATAGATTATTAGAACTATGTCAAAAATAAAAAGCTACACTTTCAGTCAGAAGTGTTTCAATAAATGACACCCACTTGAGGCCAAGCTATTGGAAAATAAAATATATAATACTTTAAAAATTCTGAATGATAACAAATACTACTCAATTATTATAAGTGTTTTCATACAATTACTGAATTTATACATTATGTTCTATTTAATTGTATGTCAATGTATATGTACAAAATAGAGTAACAAATTGAATATAACAGACTGTGTGTGTGTGTGTGTGTGTGTGTGTGTGTGTGTCTCACCCTCCAGAGGCAGCTGCATGCAGGCAGGTCCTCCCGTAGTCGTCTGGGATGTTTATATCGAACCCAGCTGACGACATTTGAGGCGGCATGATGTAAAACTGGCCTGAATGACGGAAAAACCAACAACAACACTGTTAAGTGGAAACATTTCGAGTCATGTCAGTAATTAAAATGTCAAAAGTGAGAGGATAAATTGAAGAGCAAGGCCTAATGGCTCACACAGATTCTTACCATTAGACAATAATTTCCGACAACAGTCTGGAAATCCGTAGAGCGCCGCCAAATGTAGTGGAAGCATCCCATGAATGCCTTGTCTTTAGAGATCACAACAAAGATTATTTAGTGTGTATACAGAACATTTTTCTGTATGAAAGTGGAATTTAAGTGCAAATAAAATCAAACAGATATGCTCTTAATGACTTCAAACATTTTCTAAAATCCAGGAAATGTTTTGGTTTAGATGTTGAAGTATCGACAGCTTAATATTTTGTCTACTGCTTCTTAGTCATGAATATTATAGGATCATCTGTAATAACTGAGTCTTTATGTATATGTTATTATAGTAGGTCAGGTTTACAATAAAAGTTTCTGTGTATCATCGCTGACATGATGGGATGTGAACAGACCTACCTGGCTTTGTCAGCACCATTTGTCAGCAGAGTGCTGATCAGCAACTCCTGACCATATCTGGCAGCAACATGAAGAGGAGAGTTTCCGTACATATCAACACAGTCAATTTCCCCACCTGTGTGCAGAGGGAGACATGAAGTGAATATGATGAAGTGCTCAGAATCAATCATGTGATTCAACAGGATGCTGTGGATAGTGTTAATATTATGTCACCATTTTGGATCAGAATCTGGGAGCCTGTGAAGCGTCCATGCATAGCAGCCATATGCAAAGGGCTCTTCCCTTCTTTATTCTGGTTAACAGAGAAAATGAAAACATATTAAGTTAAAAGGCTGACATAAATCATTATTTTTCTCCTGTCTTTGCTCTTTTCATATCCAGTTATGGAATACAAGCTCCTTACCTGCACGTTGACGTCAGCACCATTGTTGATTAGCAGCTCGAGACACATCACCCCGCTGGAGGAGGCGGCAGCCAGATGCAGTGGCGTGCTGCCGTGGTGGTTGGGCTGATTAATGTGGGCACCGCAGTTCACCAGCTCAGTGGCCACAGTGTCCTGCCCCGTATGACAGGCCATGTGGAGTGCTGTGTTCCCGAAGACGTTGGGTTCATCAGTCTGAGAGGAGATGGAGCAGAACAATTAGAGAGAATTAAATACTGAAGGTAATATCGGTGTTAAAGGACAAGCGTGTAGGATTTAGTTGCATCTAGCACTGAGGTTACAGCTCAGCCTTCCAGTGTGTCTGAGAAAGTTTCTACAAATACTCGTCTGCAGCACATTTAATAACACAGAATTCACAGTATACGTGAAACATAAAATACATGGCACATATAATAATTGATTATGGGCCACTTTACCTCCACCACCAGTCTCAGCAGGTATTTGACCATGTCTAACTGTCCGCTGGCAGCTGCAGCATGGAGCGGAGTGTAACCTCGTTTGTCTTTGCACGTCACATCAGCACAGTGAGACACCAGCAGCTTCACAACCTCCACGTGTCCTGACAGAAGAGTTTAACATTTACTACAAGCATCTGCCATCTGCGTCACAGCACACAGCAACATCTCCTGCTGGTCTGTTTGCAAACTGTAGCACAGTTAGTGTACATGCCAATTTATTACAATGTTCATCAGATTTTGACCTTGTTAACAAAAGTCAACAACTACTCTTTTATTTTAACTTTCAGGAATATAATTAAATTCACAGCTTGACCAATCAAATGGTGTAAATCTAGTTAATGTCTGTTCCCTGTAAACAGTTTGATATTTAACTCTTTTAGACACTAGTTTCTCAGTGAAATAACCTTTTGTTAAAGAGTCTTTTGCAAATGTGTGACAGAGAGTCAGTTCTCAGGTATTTGTTTGTTGGGTGTGAGTCTGTAGTTTGCTTGTTTGATTTGTGTTACCAGAGTCTTTGTCTTATTATTCTCTCTTTTTTTCTTTGTTTACATAACCAAGAAAGTTGTGTTATTGGGGATGCAGTCACCACTTACCAAAGTATGCAGCCCAGTGGATTGCCTGCCTTTCCTTCTTATCTTTGGCACTTACGTTGGCACCTTTGTTCAGGAGCAAGTTCACCATCTGCAGAAGTGCATAGCATCGTTTTGTCTTGACAACAACAGCAGAAACATTTATTCAAACAGGGCTGTGGCAACAGTTTGGTTTCACAGAGGTGCAAATATTGTAAAAATGACTTTGTTCCCCAATACTGCAACAAAAAAATCAAGAAAAATATTCCACAGTCATTATTCACTTTCATAATACAAAGCTACTCTCCAGCATTGTTAATAAAACATAAAGGTTTGGTACTTTAGAAATGGCAAAAGATCAGGAAGATGACTTTGGTTAACGGTTTACAGTTTACCTCTCCATGGCCGCTGTGCGCTGCGTGATGCAGTGGTGTCCTTCCTGACCTGTCGGCGACATCCAGGCTGCACACATGTGGTATCAGAGCTAAAGCGCAGCCTGTAGCCCACTTTGCAGCTGCCATGTGTAAAGGTGTATGCCAGAACTTGTCCCGTGTGTTGACCTCTGCTCCGTGCTTTAGTAGCAGCTCCACGGCCCTCTGAGGAAAAACACAAAACACAAACTTCAATGAAAATGAAAGTCAAACACAATCTGGTGATCAAGTCTTTCGAAAAGTCTTTCTCCTCCAGCATTTTGAATTGGTAACATACTTCGTTACGTGAGGCAGCCGCTCGATGTAAAGGAGTCAGCAAACCCTGGTCCTTAGCGTTGACATTAGCACCTGTAAGAGAAAGCAAAAGACTTAGACTATCTGAGTGTTTTGGGTGAATTTCAGTTATTCTCTACTTGATGTACTAATTGTATTCATTACTGGAAAGGCTCTAAACAATACACAAGCGTATGTAGGTGATGATGCTTCTTTTTCACTCACATAAACATTTCAAAGTGAGATAAATAGTTTTTCTACCTGAAGAAATAAGTAATTCCATCGTGTGGACATCACCCAAATAGGCAGCAGCATGAAGTGGTGTGCTTTGTTCTTGGTCCTGAGAGAAAAAAGGAAAAACAAACAAAACAATAAAGTAGGCAGCAAACACATTGTCACATTATCCCTGTAGTATATTAAATTTCTATTCTATTCTGTTTCCACATGTTTACATAGTTAATGTGCAATTAAAAGTTTAAACTCTCTGCATGTTCATATATAACATTTAATAAAAAATGTATATTTTGTATCAAATGTGTCCTGAAAACTTGGTCAGCAAACTTGTAGTAACCATAAACATACAGAAGTCTGAATTTACAATTAAAGAAAAGCTGTGCTGGCAGTCAAGAAAGCACGGGCGAGTATCCTACAGCGGAGATACGTGACTGAAAAGCTCCATATACATCTTAACATTTGCCCCAAAATATAATGCATACAAATGTATTAACACAACTTATGTACAACATGTCTCCAGAGTTAATGCAGGATAATATTACCAGTGAATTGACATCTTCGTTATGGTCTAACAAAAATGTCACTTCTTCTGCGTTTCGGCTGAATATAGCCTGGACCAATGGAGACTGAAACACAGAGTTGACATGTAAAGCAGATCAGTAACAACAACATTACAATAAAATTAAAAGTTTATTATGTTTTCCAGACATTTTATCATATTTTTGCAGTGATTCAAAACATTTCCCACTGAACAGACTTTGCTGAGAAACCAATAAAACTGAGCTACAATCTCTTTTCTCTGCACTTCCAGGAACATTGTCAATGATTAAAATGACTGGAGAGAAATAATCTGCCATCTGTTCCTTGTGCTGGTATTTATTTGACTGAACACTTCACTTGTTTTCAATCATGTAAAACTTCTGGCACTTCTTGTGAATGTTTAGGATTCTTCTTGGAAAACTCAATAATGACTCGCCAAGATTTGTCTCCCACAGATAACGTTAAGCAAAGTTAGCTATGCAGTGGAGAAATGTGGATCCATTTAAAGACTGATGTGTAAACTGTTTTATTTGACAGGGTCTGGACTTCATGTACCAGGGAGCACTATGACCCAGATTATAGGGTCTAACGTTAGGTGCATTACAACATCGAAAAACTAAACAATACACTGAAACTTACTCTGGTTTTGCATGGAAATTAATTTGTAACATTAACTAGCCTTGTAGCAAACTTTGCTCGACATGTCGCTAACATGACTAGCCGGCTCTTTGCAGGGTTGATGAGAAGTAGAGTAAAGTTAGTTATCTGGCGTTAAGTTAAGACAACAACAAAGGCTTTATTTACTACCTGGTCCTTGATATTTCTTAACTCCATGTCCCAATCACTCTGGAAGCTCCTTCATTGAGACTGAGTGTAGAGTTGACTACATGTCACTCTGCAGCAGCTTGTTAGCCTAGCTTTAGCTTAGTTAGCCAAAGGGATATGTGATGTGTAGTTACATCAGAATCTCGCGAGAGAAGTTAAAGTAACGTGATTTGGTCATTTGTGCTCTTTTCTGAACATTAGTAATACATAATAGTATGTGTTTGCATTTAAATAATACATCTGTGGATCATTTATATGAGTATAACTTTAGATATTTATTAAATATAGATGACACTTTGTTGAGAACCTTATAAAATTACATCCTAGACAATGAACATTTTATTAATTCATAAAAAAAGACCCTCGACTCGACTGGAAGTTGGACTGGAGTTACAGTCGTGGCAAAAATAAATAATATGGTTAGAGCCAGTGGTGGAAACTTTATAAGTACATTTACTTTTGTACTGTCGGCTACTTAAGTACACTTTTGAGATACTAACCCTACTTCATATTATCTCCATCTCAACTGCAACAGTAAACTGCTGCTAATAATCCAGCAGCACACTATGACCTTCACAGATACATTTTACTGCACTGAATCAAGGATATATTAAGA